AAAGGAAAAGATAGACCCTGCCGTAGTAAGCTCGCAGTTTAATGGAGGAAGCAACATGTGAACAAATGTGTATAAACAAGCTGTACAGGTTAAATAAGTAATAATTTATAGAGGGAAGTTTCTGTAATTAAAAGGGATTGAGAAAAGTTTCCTGTAGAAGATAGGATTTCTATTGGGATTTGCAGGAAGCCAGGGAAGCCAAGAGGTGGAAATGAGGAAGGAGAGCATTTCAGTTATGGGGGACAGCAAGAGAAAATGCTCAGGGGCGAGATAGAGTGTCAGATAGAGTGTAGAGATAGAGCAAGGAGATCATTGTCATTGGATCCAAGAGTATCAGATAGGGGGTAAAGGGGTTGAAAGAGGACCTGTACAACTTGGCAATAGGTAGGCGCCAAAGTTAAAATAGGCTAAACTTCTTTGAGCTACTGATAGGTTAGACTAGAGGCAGACTGACCGTGGTTGGTTGCCTCGGGTCACTTGACAAACAGGAGAGTGTGCAGTGACAACCCTACATTTTTCGAGGGTGACCTGAAATCCTTTGGCAGGCTGCAAGCAGTGATGGGCCATATGTTGTGCAGGATTGGTGTAAAGTATAAGAAGACTGGAAAGGGAGGGGAAATAGATTATGAAGGGCTTTGAATGCCGAATAGAGGATTTTGATTTTGATTTGATCTCTCCAATTTTTTGACCTGGATTTGGGTCTGAGCAACACTCTTGTGGGCTTGTCCCAGTTGGAGTTCAAGTAAAATGCTGTTGGACTCAGCCACTATCAGGCAGCCAGAAAAATAAAATTGGTTCAGAGTGATTCAACATAATGCTCCCTTTTATTTGTGGATTTCTGCGTTGGTTTCTCCACTGTGGGCTTCACACTGGGCTAGAAGCTAGAACCTGAACCTTTTCTGCTCCTGTCAGCTGCTGCTTGTTTCTAAATTTATTCCTTTCTTGGTACACAGTCTAAAATGTGTAGCCACTCTTCATCCCAGAACACTTCCCCTAGGCAGAGGTCCCCTCCTCAGACAGCCTGGGATCTGTGACCCACAACTGCATAGTAAACAACAATAAGCAGTCAGATCCCAAAATCCAAATCCAAACAAATCCCTGTTTATTCTGTGAAGTTTGGATTCAGTCAAAGGGCCACAAGTGGCCTTGAGACTACAGCTTCCCCACTCCTGGTCTGGCGCATTTTCTTGATTTATATGGAGGAATTATGGGTGACAGCTTGGCTATGCTTCTTCCTGTTATTCTGTCATCTTAACTCCACCATTGCTTTTCACCCATGTCTCTTAATCCAAACCTAGCTCTTTTCATTATACAAATTTTTCATGACAAAATTAGGACCAGCCTCACTGTTGTTTACACTTATTATTCATAATGATAGGATTATTTGCAAACATTTTGTTGAATGCAATACATAACAAAAACAAGCTTCTTATCTCTCCAGAGCTTTCATTATCAAAGTTAAACAAAAGCAGCCATGGAAGAATTTCATAATTGTAACTCCATATCTTCTTTTCACATGCATTGTTATAGTCAAAAGCTTGAAGCTTTTGCCCTTGGAAATTTTTATTGCTTTGATCTTCTGACCCCTCTGCATCTAGGAAAATCTCATACAAAATGTGGATTAGGATCTTTTGAGATCCTTCATAGCTCATATTTGGGTTTAAGTTTCTAATGATTCTGCAGTTGAAAGGATTAGAAATCACAGGGTATCTATAGGAAGAACAAGGAGCCCATGATGGAAGTATAAAAGTAGAGTGAAAAAAATGGCGATTCTAGTATGCCTCCCATGACACAAAGGTGTGCTTCAGAAAGGTAGTTTATAAACAGTTTGAAAATCATAAACTAATCTTTTTGTTCAGTCATTTTTCAGTCATGTCTGACTCTGTGTGACCCCATCTGAGGTTTTCTTCGCAAAGATACTGGAATGATTTTCCATTTCCTTCTCCAACTCATTTTACAGGTGAGGAAACTGAGGCAAACAGGGTTAAGTGATTTACCCAGAGTCACACAGCTAGCAAGCGTCTGAGGCCAGTTTTGAGCTTAGGAAGTTGAGTTTTCCTGATTCTAGGCCCAGCACTCTATCCACTGCATCACTTACCTGCCTGAACGAACCCTATTTTCCCATTTATTTCTACTATGCTATTAGTGTTGTGGCTGATAGGATCATAGATTTAGAGTTGGAAAGGACGTTAGAGATCATCTTGTTTAGTCCCCTTGTTGCCCTTATTTTAGAAATGAGAAGAATGAGACCCAGAGAGCTTGTATAGCTTGCTCAAGGTCACATTGATACTGAGTTTCCCAGCTAGCATATGAGCCTGTCCTTGATGGAAAGGTTCAGTCCCTCAGTTTATACTTCTGATTGCTTCTGAAATTGCTAGTTGCCAGTTGCCAGACTTAGATATAGAGTACCCATCCCCCCAAACTCAGGTGCTTTCTGAGAAAAGAATGTTCTGTAGCCTGGGTTTCAGCCCCTACTGAGGAAATATTTCCTGCAGGATTTTTACCAGCATCGAATGTATAGCATTAGGAGAAACTTCTGTAGAAAGATACATGAGGTATTGACTGCTATAACCAAATGGAATGGTACCAGCAGTTAGAAGATATACTTAGCATCCCATTGCTATATCTTCTTGGTTATTTCTGATACTGGCATTGCCTTTCTGACTTGAGAAACTGTGAGATGGAGGCAGAATAATGGAGTTATCTTTTTCCAGGATCCAAATGGTTTGGAAGCCAAATACTTTTGCAATCAAACTAAGCGCTTTTTAAGAGAGTATACAACTTCCTTATTAATAGGTTCAAATGAGAAGGGTACAAATGTTTTAAAGAAACAATTGCTTTCTCAAATTTAAAAATCCAAGAAGTTTCATTCTTTTGAGTGAAGATAGTTCCTATACCTCAATCAATATACATTTATTAAATGCCTGTAATGTTCTAGGCATTGTGCTAAGTGCTGGGGATACAAAAAGAAGCAAAAACAGTCCCTACCTTCAAGGGGATTACAGTCTGATAGGGAAGACCACATTCGAACAAATATATACAAAGCAAGCTATCTATAAGATAAATAGAAAATAATTGACAGAGGGAAGGCACTAAAATTGAGGTATTTGGGAAGGCTTCTGTTAATAGATAGGTTTTTCATTGTGACTTAAAGAATGCCAGAGAGGTCAGTAGTTGGAGTGGAGGAGGAGAGCATTCTAAGGATGAGGGGCAGCCAGAGAAAATGCCTAAGAACTGAGAGATGGAATGTCTTGTGCATTGAACATCTGAGAAGCCTGTGTCACTGGATCCAAGCATACATATCAGAGAGTAAGATTTAAGATTAGGAAGATAGGAGAGGGCTACGTTGTGAAAGACTTTGATCGCCAAACAGAGAATTTTTTTTTCTTGGAACCAGAATGGAGCCACTGGAGTTTATTAGGTAGTGGGATGACATGATCAGATCTGCACTTTAGGAAACCCATGGCAGTAGCTGAATGAAGGATGGATTAGAGAGGGGAGAAACTTGAGGCAGCAGGTGCACCAGCATGAGGTGATGAGGGCCTGCAGTAGAGTGGTGACAGTGTCAGAAAAGAGAAGGGGACTTATTCAGGAGATGTAGCAAAGGTGAAATTGGCAGACCTCATGAAAAGATTGGATACGGGGTGGGGAATGAGAGATAATGAGGAATCCAAGGTGACTTCTTGGTTGTGAGCCTAAGAGACTGGGAGGATGGCATTGCCGTCTATAGTAATAGTGATAATAATGAAGAGAGAGATGGCTTAGCAGGAAAGATAATGAATTCAGTTTTAGATATGTTGAGTTTAAGATGTTTACTGGACATCTAATTTGAGATGTGAGAAAGGCAGGTAGAGAAATGAATTGGAGGTCAGCTAAGAATTTGGGGCAGGATAGAAAGATCTGAGAATCATCAACATAGAGATGGTAATTAAATCCAGAGATGCTGATGAGATCCCCAAGTAAAGTAGTGTAGAGGGAGAAGAGAAGAATCCAGGCTATAGCCTACTATAACTACACTGATGTAATCTATTGTGCCATATTTCTTGACCTCAGGGAGTGGCCAGATATCATGCTAATTGTTGTTACTGTCATCATTATTATTACTACTAATAATAACCTACATTTACATAATACTTTAAGGTTTGCAAAGTTCTTTACATATGTTGTCTCATTTGTTACTCCAAACAACAGTGATTTAGGTGCTATTATTATATCCATTTTACAGATAAACTGAGGCTTAGAGAGGTTAGATGACTTTTCCAGGGTTACACAGCTAAAAATTAGGTTTTCCTGATTCCAGATCCAGTGCTTTATCCTCTACATCATGTTTCCTCTTCAACAAATGACCAATAATACCCAAATGAGTTTTCCGAAATGTAGAGAGGTAGCATGGCCAAGAGCATTGGTGTCAAACTCAAATAGAAACAGGAGCCACTAAGCTGCATGCTAGATTCCCTGTGGACCTCATATATACTTAGAATAATATATATCAACATTATTTATGTTCGATTGCATTTTTATTAATTTTATTAGATATTTCCTAGTTACATTTTAAGGTAGCACTGGGGTGGATCCACTGACTGCTGTGTGTTTGACACCTCCAATATGGAAGATAGACAACTAGCCTCAGAATCTCAGTGAGACCTGGGTTTGAGTCTTACCCCTGACACATAACTGCTGTATGACCCTGGGAAATTACTTAACATCTCAGTGCCACTGGCAGCTCTAATGCTCCAAGTAGCTGAGCAGGTGTTCATCTGCAGTGTTAGAAGGAGCTCTTTATCAGGTACTCCCTACAACAGAGAAATCTTGGGTTTGCTCAAGAAAAACAGGTATGTACCTATCTTTGATATTGTTTATTTGCTCTGGGTAATCTCATTTTGTTCAATAACTCATAATTCTAATTGACATTTTCTTCCTTCTTGCTATAGTGGCCTATCCAGCCTAAGGCTGATATCCCTAGTACAATATCTATTTACATTCCACTGTCTCCTTTTCAGTTTGACAAAGGCTATGCTTACAACATCCGCCATAGCTATGGTAAGGAAGGCAAGAGAACAGACTACACACCGTTCAGCTGCATGAAGATTATACTAACCAATCCACCGAGCCAAGGGGATTATCACGGTGAGTGCTTATACCTGACATGTTTGTAATGGGTAGGAACTCAAGGACTCCCCAGGAAACTGAAGACGTGTAATGGCTTCCTGCACTACTCGCAAGAACTGGTTTGTGGCTTATGTTACTCATCAGTGTCAGGGGAGGGCTCTGTTACTCTTCTGTTGATTTGTCCTATTACCAAACTAGGTCAGGCAAGAGAAAGCCATTCAATTGTATTTCTGTCTGTGTAGGACTAGGCTTTTTGGTGCTCTCTTTCTCCATTCACTAGCTGTTTTGTCTCTTTCTCTTAGTCTGTTAGGATGTCTCAAAAGACAGACGCCAAAGGTTTTCTAAGCTTTGCCTTGAAACTGTCAGAAAAAACATTGCTGTTTAATTTTCAGAAGAGTCATCCCTCAGGAATAATGTGCATCTTGTTCTCATGATTGTGATCTAATTAACAAGCCTCGATTAATTGAGAAATTTAAGTGACTCCTATTTATAAATCACTCCAAATTTATTTTTTAAAAGAGAAACTCTCATCTATAGATTTTGTGATCTATGATTTTTTTCCCTAATCTAAGTTTCAAATATTTGTTATAGAGATGAGTAAAGTTACTGTCTGTTCTTGGATAATGAAATATTACATACATAAGTGAATTTTCCACTGAAAAGCCCTTTATGGGCCCCAGGCAGTTTTATTCTAACCATTTTTGATGGAAATCTTTGTAAAGTATGTTACAAATTTACTCACCATCTGATTAATCAGGGTATAATCTAAATTTCCCTTACAGTCTATGTGATCTTATATGTCTAAATGATAATCTTACATATCTAAACTTTCCTTTAGTCATGCTTATGAATATTAATTGCGTATTCTACAAGTAATACCCACAGGTATGATCATTGACAACTGTTTTGCTGCTGTCAATGTTTCTACTTCTTGCAGCCTTTTAATTTCCTGCTTCTGCTCTGCTATGGGATATAAAACCAAATAACAAAGCCAAAATCAGAATGAAAGCTCCCTAAGTGAGGTCCTGGTGGTCTTTTGGAGTAAAACCCCAGAGACAGTGTAGGGTCTTGGGCACATATATGTGGACTGCCCAGAGGATTTTTGATTTACTCTCAGTTCTGCCTTCCATGCTTGTCATTCCTTTGTAATTGATGTCGAGATAGATGTCATAATTCTACATTGTGGACCTCCACTGTTTTCATCAAATCATAAGGTGACAGTGTTAGAAATGGAAGGTACCTTACAAGTCATCTGCTCCCACCCCTTCTTCTTCATGGTTTGAATGGCAAGAGGTCATCTAGCCAGACTGCCCACTCAAAGCAGGCTTCTTCTCAGAAACATTCAAACTCTACTTGAATCCTTTTTGTGAGATAGGAAGCTGGATACTTTATAGGATGTCCCATTCTATTTATGGACAACTGTAATTGTTACAAAGTTCTTACCTAACCTGAGCAGAAATATATCTCTCTTTAATTTCCATATATTAGACCTACTTTTGCTCTTTTGAGCTACATAGGACCAGCCTAATACTCCCGTATGACAACCTGTTTCACAAATAAACACACAGGTGACACTATTTGTTGGGCAGGAGAACACAGGAGGGTTCCTAACACTAACAGTTTAGAACACCTGTTAGAGCACAGGTTCACTTTTGATCCAGTCAGACAGAAACATAGCTTTGGAGGGGTTAAATAAGCTTACTTTATTCTAGTCTAGTGTTCTTAAGAGAATTGCTGATAATGGGAGTACCAACTCCTACAACATTCCCTAATCACACTTCTCGCAGGAGTGGGCGAGAATAGTATAGTTCCTCATCCCATAAGCTTCATTGGGAACTAGTTGAGGCAGACACAGATTCCCCCCAAGACTTGATGGGGGTTGATCAAGGCACGTACATGCATTCCTCTGTGAATTACCCAAATCCCAAAATGGATTCCGCACTCACTGACCAGTGCCCACTTGATTTATGGGGCAACAGACAAAGAAGACAATTTACCAACATTAAGTTCACAGGTTAACTTTAGCGATATTGTCATGACCTAGCACAGTGCAGCCGTACATTATGTCATCCCTATATCTCATTGCGTAAGCTTGGTGATGTTTAAAAACCATGACCGTGAGAAATAGTAACTATTTTGGCCATGGATCCTGAGACATATTCTCTAAAAAGAATAACAGAATCCTCCTTACACACACTAAAATCCACCTTCTTATTCTTACGTAACCCTTTAGGTATTTGAAAGCAGGTATTAAATTCCCCACAAATCTTTTTCTTTTCTGAACTAAACATTGCCAATTCCTGCAGCTGTTCCTTATATGAGATCGTTTTCAGACCCTTCACAATCCTGGTCTGAAGGTAAATTCATTTAAGTAAAATCTGTCTTAAAATGTAGTACCCTGAATTGAACCCAACACATTAGTTGTGATCTGACTAATGCAGAGTATACGGGTCCTATTATCTCTGCTACAGTATATTTCTATTAATGTAACTAAATGCATGGACTTTATTAGCAACATTGCCATAGTTAGTTAATTACCTGTTATTGAGCTTATGGTCAAATAAAACCCCCTGTGTCTTTTTTTCACATAAACTTCTTCGTTTCTCCATCCTGTAATTATGTAGTTGCTTTAAACACTCATGGCTCTGCTTTTTATCCCTGTTAAATTTCATCTTGCTTGTTTTGTTTCATAAATCTAGCCTATAAAGATGTTTTTAAATATCGATTCTTCCATCCAGAATGTAAACTATCTCTTTCATCTTTGTATCATGTGCAAGTTTTGACAGGCATGCATTCTATGCCTTTAAGTCATTTATAAAAAATGATGAATGGAACAGGAACCAAGGGCTATGTATTTATACTACATGAGAGAACTCTATGCTGTTGTAATTTTCAACAATTTTGGATACACATGCTTAGCTGGCATGTAATCTGTCAGATTGTGCTTTCATCCAGCTCACGTCTTGCCATTGGTACTCACCAAAATAGAATGAGAAGCTTTCTCAGATACCTTGATGAAGTTCTCATCATAGTGCCTAGCACATAGTAAGTGCTTAATAAATGTTTATTGATTGATTGATTGAAGAGACACCATAGCTAAAGAATTTCCCAGTGTATCAGTTCAATATCCTTTATTGAAAAACAAAATGAGGTTGGTCCAGCATTGCTTGTTTTTAATCTCCTGATACCCTTTGGGAATCATGAAAAGAAACCACAGTGCAAGACCAGGATAACATTTATAGAAAAAAGATGAGATTTTGCAGCAAATTGGCATGGGATCATTGAAAAAGAATTTCATAATTTCCTAAATCCAATCTAGCATACTCTGTTCCTCCTCTTCAGTTCAAAGGAAGATATTCTATGGAGAGTTTAGATGGAAGATTGATTGCATATAGATGACGAGATTTTTCAGATGCTCCCATTTTTTAAAACTTGTACTGCTTCATATCATTTTATTTTTATATGTACATGTCCCATCTTTCTGCCTAGGCCATGAGCCCCTTAAGGACAGGGACACACGTCATGGCTGATTGTATATATTTCCAACGTCCATCATACTCAACAAATGATGCTTGATGATCAGTTTTCTCTTCTTAAAAGGAGGAGGTTAAACCAGAAGGCCTCCAAGTTCCCTTCCAGTTATGAATCTATGATCCCTATAATCATTGTTTTCTTTTCTGAAAGTTCACAGGAAATCACCCCATTTATTTAATAATCTATTGTAGAATATTTCCAGACTAACTGAGTTATAGTTTCTAGAATCTTCTCCCCATCACCCTCCCTTTTGGAAAATGAGAACTGTAGCCTTTCTCCAGATTATTCTAGCACTGCCCTGGTTTTCCACAGAGTCTAAAGTTTAAAATTAATATTTGTAAAGTGCTTAACAGAATGTCTGGCAAGGAGTAGGCACTATATAAATTGCTATTTCCTTTTCCTCCCCTTTCTAAGGTGATTGAAGGGCGAGAAGAGACAGGTATCAGTAATATGATCCTATCTGTAAAATTTCTCAGTGCCCTTGGATGTAACTTATATGTGCTTTGATATTTGAAGTCATTGAAAGTGAACATAACCCTCCTACTCTCAAAAATCATAGTCTTTAGGTCTCTTGCAGCAATGTTTGACCCTTTCCAATTTAATCATCATTGTCCATGATGAAGGCAAACATAGAAATTAAGTAGATCTGCCGTTACTGTCATCTGATATCATACCATTTGCACCAAGCAGTGGGTTATCATTTTCATTTTCATTTTCTGAACATAACTAAAAAACAAAAATTTAAAAAACCCCTCCCTTTTGATGTCTATAGTATTTTTTAAAAGCTTCTTGCTATTTCTAGGCTTTCGTTGTCCTGACAGCGTAGAGAGGCAGCATAATGTAGTGGAAAGAAGGTTGGGTTTAGACCCAGAGGACCTGAATTTAAAACTTAGATGTGCCTAGGGCAGCTAGTTGGTGCAGTGCTGGACCTAGAGTCAAGAAGACTCATCCTCCTGAGTTGAAATCTGTTTCCTTTTTTTTTTTTTAAGGCAGTTGTGGTTAAGTGACTTGCCCAAGGTCACGCAGCTAGTAAGTGTCAAGTGTTTGGTCTGAGGTCGGATTTGAACTCAGGTCCTCCTGACTTCAGGGCTGGTACTCTATCCACTGCACCACCTACCTGCCCCCCTGAGTTCAGATTTGGCCTCAGATACTTAATAGCTATATGACCCTATGTAAGTCATTTAACCCTGTTTGCCTCAGTTTCCTCATCTGTAAAATGACCTGGAGAAGGAAATGGCAAACCACTGCAGTATCTCTGCCAAGAAAACTTTAAATGGGGTCACAAAGATTCAGACATGACAGAAAAATGACGAGAAAACAGCAATCTGCCACTTACCCTCTGTTTGAGCTTGAGGAAATCACCTAATCTTTCTAGGCTTCGGATTTCTCTGTAAAATGAAGAGGTCAGACAAGTTGACCTCTAAGATCCCTCCCAACTCTCTATTTATGATCATATCCTGTAAGTATTATTTCAATTTATACCACTTACTTGCATGTATCTTCTTAAAAAAAAAAAGATCTGGGCTTATCAAAGAGTTGCCTGATTTCAGATATCTCCCTCTGTTCTTCATTGGATCCATTTGTGAGTGTGCAATCAGATTATTTCAGAGCAATTCTTACTAAAATTCCTAATAATCCCAGGCTGAATAATAAAAGAAAAATGATAAATATTAAGAATGAAGTCTGTAAAGTTTTATATGCCTCACAGGTGGTTTTGTCCTCATGGTCCTATTCTGAACTTGCTCATTTATAATTAAGATTATTTGGAAAAGCAAGTGGTGTTCTGGGCTATTTATTATTTCAGCAATAACCACCATCCTCTCTCTCTTCCAAATAAAAATATGGAACTAGATATCCAGTTTAATAATTTTTAATTGTGTCTGATGAGTTGGCTTCAATTCATGGTACTACCTTTCAAGAGAGACTTTACCTAAACATAGAACCTCAGATGTCATGGTCCTTTTCTAGAACAAAGGACAAACAACAGCAACAACCTTCAGACCAGGATGGCAGAGAGTCTAAAAATCATGTCATATAAGCAGCTGCAGGAATTCACAATATTTAGTCCAGAAAAGAAAAAAACTTAATTGGGGAACTTAATTGTTGTTGTTCAGTCGTTTTAGTCACGTCCAACTCTTTATGACCCTATTTGGGGTTTTCTTGGCAAAGATACTGGAATTGTTTGTCATTTCCTTTTCCAACTCATTTTACAAATGAGGAAACTGAGGAACTAGCAGAAGCTTAATACCTGCTTTCAATTATCTAAAGGCTTGTCATGTGGAAGAGGAATTAGACTTTTCCTGTGTAGCTTAAAAGAGCAAAAGTAGGTCATATATATTTTAATCTAATATATTTTTACATTAGTTTTTATATTTTATATTGTATTGTATGTTATAAACTCATTATTTTCCTTTCATTTTTCAGAGTGTAGAATAATTTTTAAAGTATTTTACTTACCATTTTATATTATATTAAAAGTTCCCGAACTTCTACAATTGCTTCTATGTTGCTTAAGTTTTATTTTTTTATGTTATATATTATATCTATATGTATATATATATACATATAGTATATATATATATATATATATATATATATATATATATATATGAGAGCCCACATTTACTTAATTTTCCTATGAAATAATATAGATCTCTATGGTCCTATACGTATGAACTTTTAAAGTTTTCTTAAGTTGCAACTGTTTACCAAATAGTAGTCCTTGGTTACCTCCCAATTAGCAATTTCCAATTTCCTGTCAACTGTCAGTTTTGTTGTAGCTTTGGATATACAGGTAATAAATGTAATCTTTGCAGAAAATGTTTGAGTATAAATCTCCTCATATTTGCTTCCCCCAATTAGATAGAAAGATGATATATTTGTGGGTGGGGCAGAGTATATGTTTTGGTGTAGAATTTTTTTTTAATAATTGGTGGAATTTAGCAATTTAGGATATGGTTATAGCTATATTGTGATTATCTCTCTGCTTATTAGCTAAGAACCTAATTAAAACTGTTTTCCTCTTCTGAAATGGGAATCTCAGCCTACTTGTGTTGTAATGCTTTATGTAACTCTTGAGCCTGTATTGCCCTGATAACCATACAGTTGGAGTCTTTATTTAAAAAAAAAATAAAGTAAAAGAGGAAAGCAGTCACACACACATGGGTAATTAACTTTTTTATTAATAAGCTGTTAGACAATTAAGAAGAGCTTAGTCTCTCGAGTGTATTATTGTGCTAACTCCTGGGTAAATAGCCTCATTTGTGTGCTTACTGGTGTTTTTGGCTGTCAGGGTGCCCATTCCGCCACAGTGATCCTGAGCTGTTGAAGCAGAGGCTCCAGTCATCCAAGGTCTCTCAAACCGGGATAAACCAGGTAGGTCGGATTCTTTTCCCAGGCCTTGATAATGAGGTGTCAGACTCTTCCTTTTGGTTTCATTTAATATCCTCACCATAGTATTCCATGCAGCTTGTCAGGCAGACTGCCAGATTGCCTGTCTTTTAGGTGAATTAAGCCAAAGCACTAACTTCTCTGGTTTTAATCCCCCGTTGGAAATTCTGGTTCTTCTGTCTGCTGGGCAGCATTTTTAGGTTGGTGATGGAATAAGCTTGGAAACACGTGTATGCATATGTGCACATGTTCATGCAAGTCCACATTTGCACTTGTATTTGTTTCTTCAGGTTTTCATATTGAGAACTGGTGCCACTTAAAAAAAATTTTTTTTGAATAGTCTATTAAAGCTCGCTAATGAAGCTGAAAATTAATGACAACATTTTTCGTCTTGGGAAAATTTTTTTTTAGTGTCGTCGGTGTTGCAGAACTCAGGATAATGTGGGGCATGCTGACTGACTATTTTGATAAGCATCACTTGTCACACTGTTTAATCTAAAATTCTGTTAATAGATCATTAGATCTAACACTTTGTTTTACAAACAGTTGCAGGGAAAAGAATGCCTAGAAATGTGAAAGTCAGTGCTGTGAATGTCTTCCAGTACTTTAAAATAAAATAAAGCAGCTTTGTCAGAAAAATAATCCTGAATATACTAATGTGGTAGACTGTCTTCTATGCTGTTGTCTTGGCTGGTTTGTCAAGGGAGCTGGATAACATTCTAATCTGGAATAAAACAAGGTGAATGTCAGAGCTGGAGTCCAAAAACCATCATGCATCTTTATAGGATTGGATTTATTTTAGAATTCTAATCACCAAAGAAGACCCTTTGCCTTTTACAGTGAAAACTCAGATTCAGTTTCATCCGTAGTTGATAGTTCATGTTTCCCTATCTAGTGTCTTGTTTATAATGTTGCTTACATTCCTACTGAGATGATTGGTGTTGATGCTTAATATCTATACCAATCACCCCCATTTAAGTGCTTCATAAATACTTGTTAGTTAATAATCACAAATAGTAATACATAGTTCACTTACTCTTCCTTCCTTTCTTCACTCTGTGCTTCCAGCACATTTCTTTAGCTATCAAATATTAGTTCCTTGAGGGCAGGGACTATTTAATTTTTGATCTTGTATCCCCAGAATGTAATATTGTACTTGGAACATGCATAGTAGATGCTTGATTTATTGATTGATTGAAATTTTTTACATATTTGAGGTGGGTTAACATGTCATTCACCATACCTCTTCTGTTGTTGTTGAATCATTTCAGTTGTGCCTGACTTTTCATGACCCTATTTGGACTTTTCTTGGCAAAGATACTGGAGTGATTTGCCATTGCCTTCTCCAGCTCATTTTACAGATGAGGAAACCAAGGCAAACAAGGTTAAATAACTTGCCCAGGGTCATACAGCTGGGAAGTATCTGAGGCTGGATTTGAACTCAAGAAGAGGAGTCTTCCAGATTTTAAGCCCAGTGCGCTATCTACTGGGCACCTTGCTGCCCTGATTGTACCTTTAGGCCTAGATTTTAATTGTGTTTCTAAAATGAACATGGAAGTGTAGTTCATGAGTAATCAGCAGTTAATAATACTTTTGGGGCAGCTAGGTGGCGCAGTGGATAGAGTACCAGCTCTGAAGTCAGGAGGACCTGAGTTCAAATCCAGCCTTAGACCAAATACTTGACATTTATTAGCTGTGTGACCCTGGGCAAATCACTTAACCCCAATTGCCTTTAAAAAAAATAATACTTTTGCTTTTGTTGAATACCTTTGGTGAATAGCTCCCTGAAGGATGAAATATGGTAGCTGCTGTAGTCTGTTCTAAAGGGGAGTATATTGGTGAATGAAGGGTCCATGTAGAAGTATTTTGACAAGTGTGCATTTAGATCTTTCCATTATGAGTGCTTTTAAATATTTTATTGTCTACAAGTCATAAAAAATTCACTACTGAAATGCTTCCAAGGTAAAACTCTGTAACCATTTATTGATGTTTTATGGTCAGAACCTCTTGGTGAAGATTTCTTTATCTTTTTGAAATAGCTGGAAATATGTCAGATAATCAGAATCCTGATGTTGGAATGTATGTTGAAACAGGCAAGGCAGTGGAAATTGGATTTGATCCACGTTGTATCATGCTGGCCATGACCACATTTGCCTCTTTTATTTTCACCTTTGCTTCCCTTGATGGTGATAACTTTTATATCCCTTTTACTAATTTATAGAGTGTTACTTTTTGGTGAGAGTTCAAAGGCAACAACACCAGAAAGAGCTAGGGTTTCCTTTCCATTTGCCCACTTAAAGGTCACTTTGGTTATTTCCTGGAGCCAAATTGTAGGTAGAGAACTTGGCTAAAGAAAATGTGGTATTTACTTTGTGTCTTATATTCCAGTAGACAGTTTCATGATGGGTGTGAACAGGCTGCAACCCTTCACAAATAGAAATTATAAAGGAAAAGCATAGTAAAGGATGATATCAAAGAAATGTATGAACAAAAAAGGAAGATGGCCTGGTCATGTGAAGAGAGCATTGGATGGATTACCTGGGCAATATGTTCGTACTCTCTCATTATCAAGAGTTGTGAAAGACCTCTACCACCTTCATGAACTTCTGGAAGGACATGGAAAACAGTTGCACAGGATGGGCAGGAATAGGTGAATTATGATCTGCATCATTCTCAGAAGGAGTATCCCTATCCATTAAATCACAGGCCCATTTGAGTATCTGAAGAGTATTGTAGTTATCTCTTAATTCCACAATTAGATTGTAGGTTCCAAGAAATCATAGTCTACTTTAAAAAAAAGATTTTTAACAAAGCTTTTCTCTTCTGTCTAGTGGATAACCAAGCCTGCATGTGTGATGAGTACTTAGTAAATATTAATTGAATAAATTAATTAGCGATATGTGCAAAGGCATTTAGGATCATATACCACACATACATTTTAGAGACCACATTTATATCTTAGAAAAAATTTGTAGCTTGGGAAAATGGGGTCTTGAGTAGATGATTATATGACCTCTGAGATTCCTTTCAATTCTGTTGCCCATCTTTTGAGGTTCAGAGTTGTAGAGGTGGGGAATATAGGAACTAATGGCCAGGCATGATTCCAAGAGGCAATCTAGAATTCCCTTCCCATTTCTTTCTGGATAGCCCTGGCTGCTAAAACTTCTGGGGAAGGCAGTCAAGAGCTCATGGGATGGGTCTTTGGTCAGCTCAGTGCTATTCCAGAACCAGGATCTAGAGTAAGCTAATGAGATCTGGATGACAATGCCATGTCCTGCGTATTCTGCCTAGAGATGCTTTTCTGATTGAGCCCCTGAATTCAGTCCTGCATTATCAAGGTTGCCTTGTTGTAGGCAATCAGCATCTATTTTGTGCCATCCACTGTACTAGGTCCTGGGGACATTAAGGCACGAATGTAACATTCCCTTCCTTCAAAGAGCTTACATTCTACATGAAGAAACATGCTTCAGAATTGTAAAAAAAAAGTTTGTACCCATAATGGCATCAGACGAGTATGACCAACAAATAAATAGCTCACTTTAATGCAGGGATATTTGCATAATGCATTACAATATTATTTTATACTATAATACCATGCCTTAAAAAGTGCTTTTCTCACAACTCTTAGAAAGTTGGCATTTTAAATATTCTTGAACTGTATTGGTGACAGTGCTTTTTTCTATGATAACACACTGCGTTTTTAAAAACAGACAACATGAAAGTTTCAGTGCCTTTTGTTGTTGATCTGCACAGTGTTACAGAATGTCAAAGACAGACCGCATCAGTGACCAGCCAGCAGAACCCATATGTGAACTGGAATTCCTTCAATAGTATCCCTGACAAGTGGTCACTCAGCCTCATCTTAAAGATATCTAATGATGGGGAGCCCATTACCTTTTGCAGTAGCCCATTCCACTTGTTTCTCTCTATTATCAAGCCTGAATTTATCTTTTCACCGTTGGTTCTGTTTTGTCTTTTTATACAAGTAGAATAAAACATTTTTTTCCCTTTGGGAAGAGTTATTAATAACTCTTCACGTTATTATAAGAGGTAGTTTGCTGGGTAGGAAAGTAGGAAGAGATACGTGGAGAAATGAAGGCGATTTAAATAAAAACAAAATATCAATAAAAATAAGAAATAAATTAAGAAAAAGACTTATTCCTCTTTCGCATGGTAGCCCTCATAGATTTTAAAACAATTTTGATATCTTTTCTTTATCTACTCCTTTCCAGACTAAAAATATCCGTAGTCCTTTGATGTTCTTCAATCCCCTCACTGTTCTGGTTCCTCATCATCTTATGAAGAAGTATCTGGGTTGTTTTTTAAATCATACCTTCCTAATACTACCTCCAGCACGTCTCCTAGTGAATATATATATATATATATATATATATATATATATATATATATATATTTTTTTTTTAATTTAATTTAATTTTTTTTGCTCTGTTTCTTCATTCCCAGATTTCTACCAGCACCTGTATTTTTCCTTTGATATATTTCTCCATGGCTGCTCTCTCACCTTTTTTCCTCAATCTTTGTTGCTTATTTTCTTTAGCACCATGAAACCAGCTACTCAGTGCCTTATAAACCTAATACTTTGGTTTTTTAAATTTTTTTATCTTCTTTAAAATTTCACTTCAAACAAACATTTATTTACTATGTGCTTATATGTGTTGTATGCAATTAAATTCAAATCAAACCCAGTGAGGTACAAAGTAAGACAGCTTGCTTATTAAAATGATGCTGTGCTAGGTGCTGGTGATACAAAGACAAAAATGAAACAATGTCTTTCCTAAGAAAGCTCTCATTCTCCTGGCAAATAAATGAATAAAAATGTTTTAGACTCAGGAAGAAAATGTTTCAGTGCAATCCAACACGCACACACTATAGTATGCTTTTCAATGTCGTCTTACTATAGTTTGATTCATTTTCTGTGGGATTTTTCTGTTGAAGTAACAATCATTTTGGTACTCTTTTTAAAA